AATAATGCGTAAAAGTCAAATGGACTGCATACAGAGAATGAAAGACACAGACAATGCGATACCAACAGAAGGGAAAGATGTAATGAGAAGAATTGAAAAAGTGCAGGAAGAACTGCGGAAGAAAATAAATGCAAATTAAAAATAACGCGGTAGAGTAGTTGATAAAGACACTAGCCTACAAGCCAGAAGACCGCGGGTTCGATTCCCGATGAGGTCATTAGATTTCTCAATTTACCTAATCCTTCCAGCCGCACTATGGCCCTGGGATCGACTCAGACAATAACAGAAATGAGTACCAGAATCTTCCTGGGGGTAAAACGCGGCTGGCGATTAAGGCTGACAAACTTACCGCCATGTCTGAGCCGATTGTCTAGAAAATTTGGGAGCCTCGACGTCTCACAATCCTATGAGCGTCCATGGCTGTTACAGAGATATCTTTACCTTCTTTACCTTTGAAATTAAAAATAAAATCAAACCAACACCTCATTCTAAATCGCATCAATAATGGAGTTAATCGAAGTGCTGGCTTTCTACCGACCGCTCTTTGCTCTCCGTCTGTTGGCCATACTTCTTATTTGACCCTCTATATTACCGTTCCTCTACAACTGAGCTACCTATGGCGTCTAAACCCCCCCCCCTCAAAATAAAATTGAAGCACCATGCCAGTTTTAATTGTGGGACTGCTTGGTGTCCCGATTCTTGGCAGTAGTGTAGGGTATGGAAAATAATTATTTTTCATAAAACACCTAGTTTTTAAGAAGCCATGATTATCTAGGAACCACTTGATGATGATCAATAAGTCGAAAAAAAAACAGTGATGACAGAAGGCAAAGTTAATGTTCCCATTATATTGTTATACTGTAGCATTCACTATATTGTTATGTGTATGGGTGTGTTCCGTGACTTAAGACGGGTTTGTGATTGGATGAGTACATTTATTGGCACCATATATACAATGCTCGGAACTACTGGCAATTACAGCGCTATCTCTAATCTACTTACTTTACAGTTCACCGTTACACACGCACTAAGGTTCTCAGTCTTCACTAGTCGTATCCTGGAAACGGCTTTATAACCGTCTCATTGTAACTTCAACTCATGCATGCAGTCTTCTTTGTACAGTCTAATTAATTTCTTGCTATTTCTTCTCAATCAGCTTCGACTGATATCTTCAGAAGTCGATCCACTTCTCGACAACATCCATCAAAAAAACTTAAACTGAATTCTCTGAACTTCTGATAACAACTAACTGCTCCCCTGGAACTTCCCGTTATATATCCTCGGGCCGGACACCACGGAAAACACCGTCTTCTGCTGTTCCGTATTGTTTTGGGCGTGTTTACTGATCCGTTGCTTAGCAACAGATGTCCTATTGTTGTGCGCGTTGGCTCTTGCGAGAATTTGTTTACGGAGTCGTTACCTATCATTGAGTCTATATGTCACAATATTACTCTTATTAATTTTATATCCAATTATTGTGCAAACGGATCTCCAGACCTCATTTATCTAGGAAATTGGCTCTTAATTTTTCATCAACAATTCTGACATATTTCTTTTAATTGACGTATTACACGCTGAATTTCTTCTACATAGTATATACGATCTCATATAGTACCTCATAGGGAACACATTATGTCTCCGCTACAGAGATCGACCGGTTAATGCTGTTTAGGAAAAGAGTCGATGTTTACTGTGAGAACTATGAGAAACACATAAATACGATCTGTGGGCAGAATGCCTAGTTCTAGTATGTTGAAGCAGGTGGTGTATAGAGAACAAGTGGACTTTTAAATATATTAGTCCTCAAGCAAAATCATCTGCTAAGGAATATATTTTTCCTTCCCTATACCTTCAGCAGTTATTGAATACATCCATTTCCTACAGTAATTTTTTTAAAATTCGCTTAGTGGGGTGTGGAGTCCGACTTGGTCCACTCGGCATGGCGGCCATTGATTGGCCTATTGTAGCCTGCCTAGGGTGATTATGATGATGGAGAATTTGGTGGAATGAAGATTGGCAGGGGAAACTGAAGTACTAGGAGAAAATCCGCCCCAGCACCACTTTGTCCAACACAGATCCCACTTGAGCAGACCCGGGATCGAACCCGGGCCGCCGCGGTGGGAAGCCAGCAACTAACCGCTTGAGCTATGGTGCGGCCTTTCCTGCAGTAACTTTGCGTTAAATTATGAGGGGGTAAAAGCCGGCTCGTCGAATGTCCTGAGAGCAACAATGATATAAGTATTGCTACTACCACTCAATCCGAGCTGTCTAAGGCATGTACTGTGTTCGCTCGCTCGGAAGCCGGCATCGTGGGTTCGAATCCCACAGAAGGCATAGATGTTTGGTATGTGTACGTGTTTATTCTGTGTTTGTATTGTCCTGTGTTTAGGTAGAGGCCTTGCGACGAGCTGATCACTCGTCCAAGGAGTCCTACCGTCTGTAAAATGATCATGAAACTGACATTCAGAGGCCAAGGTCCAAAGGGGCTCTAGAACCAGCGAAAAAAAAATTACTACTCAATACTGTTAATTCATGTCGTAGAAATCTGGTATGCTGTGATTAATATATATTAATTTATATATTTTTTATTTTATTTACTTTTAGCGATGATGGGGTCTATTTTATTGTTATTCGAGGTCACAGTCTTACCTCTGTTCGTTAACGTTAGCCTATTTCTGCCCGTCTAATGCCACGGTGTTCTAGGTGATTGGATTTCTTAGGCGTAAAAGAGAGACTGACCTTTCATGTATTCTATTAATAGCCACACACCTCATGTAACGCCATGATTGATTTTCTGCGTCTTTCGTTATGTGCCAAATAATGTTCACACGACGTGAGACGATTCTGTATTGCAGGGCCGCATAAAGGAGGCAAGTGATCTCACGGATGTGATTTTATGGTATTTGTAGGATCGTTCCTCCCAAGTCGACCATTTCAGTAGAAAAGGGAAGTCAGCTGACTTAGTTCAAAGGGGAATACATGCTTTTCAATGGTGAACGGACCGTTTCGGACTGAATGCAAGAATTCAATATTCTCAGTACAGAAATACCGGGAGCCGGGATAGCGCAATTGGTATAGCGACTGGTTACGGACTGGATGACAGAGGGGTCGGAGTTCGAGTCCCGGTAAGGGCAAGAATTTTCTCTTCTCCATGTCCCCTAGACCGCTTCTGGGGCCCAATCATCCTCCTATCCAATGACTAAAGGGGGCTCTTTCCCTGGGGGTAAAGTGGCTGGGGTGTGAAGCTAACAACTCGCCTCCAACTAGTGCAGAGTTCAGGAAAGCGCGGACCTATACATCCGTTCCCCCATACACCTTCGTGGCGTAGTTCTCAATTAGTTAAGCACAGGGACAACTTTGTCTTTACCTCATATAAATACCAATTTTATTAATAGAGGAATTACTAAAACCCATTCCCCAAATGTGTGTTACATTTTACAAACTAAATAATTATGAATTTAAGAAAACAACAGATGAGTATATACTACAAAATCCAGATTAATCCTACCTTCGCTCTATATAAATTCGTCACTTTGTGTCCCTTTATGTTTCTTGATTTGCAGTGTAATCATGTCTTATATTATTCTTCCTTCCTTCCTGTCCACTTCTTTTTGTTGCTTTGCTTCTTTCATTCTCCCTTCGTCTCTTCGTTTTTCTGTCTCTTTTCATTTCTCTTTCTCTTTTTCGTTATGTCACCCCTCCCTAACATTTTCCTATTACAGCTAAAATTCCTAGGTTTCGAAACACCCATTCCCGCATTCCCATCGATCAGCTGACGCTATATTACTGACAAATAACGAAAATACGTTATACTGGTATATAGAAACTGGTTCAGCCATCACCGTAAACGGGACCGTGTAGCTCTGCTTGAAACCTGCTTCCACGCTGGTTATTCTTCGACCTGAAGATGGAGGCGATATATTCCTTCGAAACGTATTTTGACGTTCAAGGGACTACACAGCATTACATCCCAGAAGATAGTACTCTTCATCTCATGTTGCAGTCTCTTAGGTGTTCACCAGTGTAACGCATTGGATCCTTCTTCAGGGTTGACCTCAAATTCAACGCCGAAAATAGAGACAGAGTGTTCCAGCTAGTATCCACGCAGAAGATTACAAGAGGTCCGCAATATGAATTTCAACTGGCGCACAAACCTCAAATCCTACGTTGTATCTCAATATAATAAACCTACCCGATGCTCCGGTAAGATAATTCCTTCTTAAAATAATATATTTTAGGCTAATAAGTTACAAGTATGTGATAATGCAAGACTCTCTCCATAAAAGGAATATTTTAGAATAAGACATAATTTTCCCTGGATCCTGAATAGCTCAGTCGGTATAGATAGTAGATTATGGGCTGAATTACCGAGGAATCAGTGTTCGATTCAGGACAGGGCAACATAATATCCAGACCACCCAGCCTCCTACACAACGGTTACCGGGGGGCCATATCCCCGGGGGCAATGCGGCAGTCATGAAGCTCAAGAACCACTATCATCTATAGGCGAGGTTAGGAATGGTGGAGCTATAACTCCACTCCCCGCTACGTATTTATGTCGTGGCGCTTAATTAATTAAATCCAGAGACAGCTTTACTTTTTTACTATTTTCTCCATATCTTACTTTCATACGTAATTGAACGAGGTTCAAACAACAGGAAAATGAATTTGACACAAAATCCAACAGTGTTTGATTATATTTCGGCCGTAATTAGCATGAACTTGTTTCATAATTTCAATTTTTCACTTCAACCGTTTGGCTTTATCGGCATAAAGAAAATTTGCTTCATTTCTTCAACTTTAAATTTTATGGTATTGGGAGTCTATGACTAACATAGTAATATGGCATCAGTAGTAGGTACACCAGCATTAGTGCATATGCAGCAGTTATTTGTTAAGACAGGTACATAAAACAGCTTGTTACTTTTGTGAGAAACAAAGGGAAATGTAAGAATGACACACAAGCAGGAGCGGATACAGTTTTTCTAATGAAACCTTACCGACATTGGGGTTAGCGGCAGGAACTAATTCTGTGGTCGAAGATGGCTCTGGTGTGGTGGTAGTAGGGGGGCCTGCGGAACAGAAAATCGTGTAACTGAAACGAAAACCTGAGTCTGCAGCTTAATTATTATGGTCTTGTTAGAGATTAATAGGACAGTAACCAGATACTTAGAATTATGCTTCCGTGCTCCGAATTTGGCAAAGGAAACTAAATTTTGAATAAAGAAGCACATCTGATAGTTTCTGGAGTGACAAAATAAACATGTTATAATATAAAATATGTATAAAATCATACCTGTGTTCAACTGTCTGAAGAATACAATAAAATAGGCTTATTGTGTTTAATTTATAAGCGAATAAATACTCTACAGAAGCATTTAAATAAGCAATCAGTATAATGGTTATGAAGATTAATTTATCATAATTTCCATCTAATCATAAATTTGGTATGGAATATTGAGTTTTGAATTACTGCAGCAAGAATGACAAATTTTCAGGTATTATGCGAGGTCTCTGTACAATACACAAGACTTCCATTCTGGTAGTGAATTAGATTAACATTAGAATATTAGACACGTCTTATACACAAATACTACGAAACACTGTTAGTGCGTGGAAAGAATAATACTCTGAAGGGAAAAGCATATATTTTTCGATAAAATATCCCTGCTTTGGAATGAAATTTACTATTTAATTGTAGTGCTACAGCAGTATGTAATTAAAAGTCTACACGTTTAATCTCCTTGAATATAGTGCAAGACAAGGCAACACATTTTACAGAACTTGTATAGCGGTCCTACTTACCAGTTCACATGCTTACGATGAGTTGCACGGAAGAAGACGGCACAATTAAAACACGCACGTGATTAGGCAATAATCTTGACAATCAACATAGGTACAACTGACTGCATTGTACGGAACGGAATCTTCTATATATGATTACTATTTTATTTGAAAATGCCTGTTGAAAGGAAATACCGATCCAGTTGTGTAGGCATACGCAGATCTTGCTTAATTATATTTAAATTAGTTTAAGTACATGTTTGTTCATATGACAATATAAGATAATATATAACATTTGCTTCTGCATACGGTAGTGATTGAGATCGCAATGTAGAGGTTCATTTCGTTAATGACGAGTGTAGAGTGACAAGATTTGGAACATATGTTTTCTTAATATTCGAGCAGGCAGTCATATGGAAATATTTCAAAATACGTAATTGGAACCATTCTAAAATATATCCCGGTTCCGTTAGTATCTTTATGAATTTCCATATATGGAAATGTTACATTTTAAGAATTTATTATAAAATTCGTAGTGATTATCTGTAAATCCCTGGGAAGGGCTGCCCATTTTGTACATAAAATTAAAACAAATTACTCATAGTATTATATCTGAATCGTATTTCAGAAAATATATAAATTAAAAAAATATCATATTTAATATAACTACGAAAGCTCCGTAATAAATACTATTCATTGAACCAGTACGAGTAACTATTCAATATTTTTGCTCCTATTTCGAAGCGAGAATCCAGTGGAACATAATGCCAGGCAACTCCAAATTATTATTTGCGTAGTCCCTTATTTAGGAGTGAATGTTTCGAAATTCGAAGGGTTTGACAGGTCAACTATCTCTCTTCAATTGTACGTATGGAGGTAAGGTTCATGGAATGGCAAATTTTGAGACGAACACGATATGTACGTTCATCCAGAAATGTATTTTTTTTTTTTTGCAACTTGATCATACTAGTATATTCCAAGAGAGAGTAAAATATGTTAATGGTTTTTATTTGCAGAATTGTTTTCCATGATACAGCAAGCGTAGTTGGTTGAGGCACCGGACGGCAGCGGGTTTGGTTCCCGATGAGGCCATTTGATTTTTCAATTGACTTAATCCTTCCAACCGTATAATGGCTATGGGGTCAACTCAGCATCTGACAGAAATGAGTACCACGGATCTTCTTGGGGGTGAAGGGCGGCCAGCGCATAAGTCTGACCTCACCCTCATCTGTGAACCGATTGTCTAGAAAATGTAGGAACCTGGACGTCTCACATCCCTATGAGCCTCTACTGCTTGTTACAGGGATAGCTTTACCTTATTAGTGTCATATTCTCGTGTAGTGCATACAAGCCCTTAGTTGTTACCATACACCCCTTGCTCTCGAGGAAAAATTGCATAAATTACGGAAGCTAACAATAATAATCCAACCCAGTTATTTTTATATGAACTTGCTTAGTCAGCGGCCCAAAAGCCAATTATAAAGTAAGCATAAGGTGAAGAAGAAAATAGAGCAAACCTAAAACACACAAGCAAAAGATAATAAAAAGCATCCTACATTGTTTAGGCCGTAACCACATTTCCATTAGTGCAATTACGCCAATCTTTATGCGGGCAGGGGAAAAAATATACCGAAGTATATAAATTAATATTGCATGCGATCTGCATTTTAATAATTAAGTAAACAAAATCATAAAATATCAGTAATGGATCCCGTTTTTATATAAAACAACTCAACGTCCCTGCAAGTATCATTATCAGCTGAGTGTATCTAACAGAAGGACAATTTTTATTTGAAGAGCAGACACTGATTATAGAAAAGTCTTTGATATACCGAGCAAAAAATCGAAGACTAGTAATAATAATAATAATAATAATAATATAAGAACAATACTACACGTGAAGAAGTTACATTCGAACACAAAACATTCCACTCACACCTTCTTATGCACGTATCTTCAGTTCATAAACACCAATGGCCCCAATATGTAAATTTCAAAACTGGTTTCAATATGCGAATGGTACGTAGTTAAACCTTAATGGTACACCGCAATTGAAATCAAGTCGATGTTAACACGAAAAATGGATGTCCAAAATTTCAACAGAACTTTACTCGCTTTCACAATATTGTGACACGTAGACCCGTTGCTACGCAATTACCGCGAAATAGATAACTACACAATAGTCACTGCTAAGTAATGACTCTGCAAACAACGGCCGTTGCTAGGCAACGGTTGAGTAGCAGTCGCGTGGGTACCCCAACAGACGCGAACGCAACAGAGGAACGGTGTTTTCTACGCAGTCCATACCGAGACATTATAAGCAGGACAGTTAGTGGAGTGGAATCAGTCAGTTGTGTTAAGTGGAGTAGTGAAGATGGCTGGTTCATGAGTGACTGAGCCAGTTAGTGAACTGCTGGGGTTCAGTCGTTGTGAGCTGTTGCTGTTAGAACCTGGTAACTGAGGCCGGGGGATACTTCGGGAACCCAGAGGAAAGGGAACGTCCGCCGTTTGAAGCCACTACCGAGGAACGGTTAGTGAAGACGTGATTTTGTACACTAGTGTGTGTGTACTGTAAAGTGTAGTCACGAGCTGTATCAAAGAGCCCAATGAATCCGCTCATCAATCCAAACCCCGTCTATAGTTACTCCATGCAAGTAACAATATTTTATGTACGCAGGTATGTACGAGTAGGTACACCTCTCTTTGCCAAATGCTCTCACACTGGTTTCTTGCTTGGCTTATTCTTCAACCCTGAAGATGGAGGCAATATGTTCCTCCGAAACGTATGTTGCCTTTCAACAGAATACATGGCGTTATATCCCAGAAGACAGCACCTTCCTGTCTACGGACCGCCTCTGTGGTCTAGTTGTCAGCGTTCCTGGCTACAGATCCAGATTTTTTTTCTGAGAAGTAGTGGGAACGGAACGGGGTCCACTCAGCCTCGTGAGGATAATTGAGGAGCTATTTCGAAGAAATAGCACCTCCGGTCTAGAAAACCGAAATTAACGGTCGTGAGTATTCGTTGCGCTGACTACGCGACACCGCAAAAGTTGGCACTAACTTCGCCGACAAGCGGCGGTCGCTCGGTCGGTATAGTTCGCTTGGGGACTAAACTCACGGAGTTTCTTCCTGTCCACGCTTAGATATTCTTTCAGGATTCTTTCCTACACAGAATTCCATTACTTCCACCCTCTTACATCTAAATATTCTCCTCAGCACCTCGCTCTCAAGACCTTTCGTTAGTGTGGCGGACCACGTTCAGAAGAAAACACTGTGCGAGATAGTCGTATGTTATAAGGAGCCCCAAAATTTACAAAAGCAAAGTTGTTTGAACATCGTATTTTTCCTCACGCCACTTTACAGAGTTGCCACCAATGACTGAAATTTTCGTCTTTACAGTAACTGAGCTGCGCAAGGACTATTACAGCCGGATTATCTCCGCAGAGGACAGTACTCGGTTCCGACGACTGCTCCGAAAACTTTATGTTTGCGGTCGCCTAATGCTTTTCTTTTTATTTCAGGCCGAAGGATGCTTTGAACTTATAGAAAAAAAAAGGTACTCATAATTTCAGTTGCGTCGTGCTGACGCCGTCCTCACTATATCAGTAAGAGATGAAACCACACCAAATGTCTCGGTTCATTCAATACGGGATCTTGACCTGCTGATGTTTCCATTCTCATGCCAAACATTTTCGGCTTTAAATTTTAGAGAGTACTAAATTCTTATACTGGCCGCGCCATAGCTCAAGCGGTTAGTCGCTGGCTTCCCACCGCGGCGGCCCGGGTTCGATCCCGGGTCAGGTGAAGTGGGATTTGTGGTGGACAAAATGGCGTTGGGTTGGGTTTCCTCCGAGTACTTTGGTTTCCCCTGCCAATCTTCATTCCACCAACTGCTCCACAATCACCCTCACCTATCATCTGGGGCTGGTACAATAGGCTAGAAGTGGCCGCAGTACAAGGGACTTAGTCCCACCCCACTAGCAATAAAAAAAATCTTATATTCCAGTCAAAATGTAATATACACTCGTATACTAGCAGCATGCCGGCCACGGTAGCCGAGCGGTCTAAGGCATGTACTGTCTTCGCTCGCTTGGAAACCGGGATCGTGGGTTCGAATCCCACTCAGGACATGGATCTTTAGTGTGTGTGTGTGCGTTTTTCTGTGTCTGTGTACAGGTAGAGGCCTTGCGAGGAGCTGACCACACGCCCAAGGAGTCCTACCGAATGTGTAAGAAGTTCGTGGAGGTAGGCCTAGGCCCACTGGGGCTGTAGTGGCAAGGAAAAAAAA